TTTTTGAAGCAACCATCTATAACTTTTAAACATTTGATCAAATATTCTTCTACTAATTTAAATTAAAATTATGATTTTTATTATATTTAAGTTACCAGTTAGTTCACAAATTAATATAGCAAAACTCCTAGAATCACAACAAACATCCTATCTTATCATAATTGGTTCAAAAGAAATTTTTCTTACTCAAATAATTTTTTTAGCCACTTAGTACTACGGTCTAGTGGTATTCCTCTTTACTTGTAAATAAGAGGTCTTAGATTCGATTCTCGTCAAATACGAATTTGAACCATATCGTTGCTACCGTGCATGTTCTTCCCGAGCTTCCGCTCGTTGACGGACTTCTTCTTCTTGCCAGCACATGACTTCTAACACTATCTCCACCTGTCGGAGTCTGGAGAACGTTCTACTTAGAAGTTGAGAGCTAAATGAAGAAGATTCCCCAAAAGACACGCGATGCGGATGGGGTGACTCCCATGTCGTGAGTCAACATAGTGTTATATATATACATATAGCTTAAATACAGGAATCAAGGAGCCAAATTTATATGTCTACTAGTTAAGAGAGATTTTTTAGTGTAATCAGTATATAAAGTGGTACACCACATATCATTATACAAATAGTGGAATATATGTGTTAAAAAGTTAATAACTTAAACAATAAAATTTCTCCCCTTATATAAAAATACAGGATGTACTACTCATATTTCTATCATAATAAAAAGTTTCTCACTAGTTAAAATGGTTCACAAGTCCTGCGGTATCCACATGGTTCCGTTCCTTCTATTGCTATTGTTATCATCAAAATTAGTCTTTGCCGATGTTTCCGAAGATCCAATACACAGTTACTCTTTCTCTCTTTTTCTTGCTCTCTCATATTATATATTAACTTATTGTCCTTCAAGCTAACAAAACTCCTTACCTTGCGTGACTGGGGAGAACCCCACCAACTTTGTTTTTAATTATTAATAAAAAAAAAAAAAACTACTCTCTGGGTTTTCAAACTTTGTTTTATTTAGATTTTTATTCCGAAAACGTAAAACAGTTATCAAATAAGTTTTAATTTTCATTTTCAAAAAATAAAAAATAAAAACTAAAAATTGATAACTGAAATGATTATGAAACGAGCCTTTAAAACACACACACACACACACATATTCAGTAATTAACTGATGATAAATTTGTTTTCTTATCATTGCATATGATGAAAGATGATCATCAATAAGTCGCTTATGCAGATGGAGATCATTCTTGCAAGGGAAGTACCGTCAATAGACGTACCAATAAGTTCTAAGCCGCCTGGATCAGGAGAGGTAGTCCCATGAGCCGGCTACCTACAGGATCGCCATCAGGGATCGAGGGCACCGAAGGCAAACAAAATTGTATTGTTAGAATAAATATTACATCATATCAATTATAGCAGTTATGTTAGTTCTCCTCATCCTGTATTCTGTGCTGGAAGTCGGAAGCCTTGCTCATAAATACTTATTATTTTGTTAAATTTCAGATGTTTTCAACTTTTTGTGCTTCAAGTATTTTTAACTCTTTTTGGACAGCAGCAACTAAGTGTTATGATTCTACCAAGTAACTACGTTTTTATCTAAGGACATTAATGTTGAAGTTATGGGAAGGCGGATTGCTTATATCGATCTGAACTAGTAGATCACACATCTGAAAGTAGAAGGATAAAATGACGCCGTGGAGACAGCAAATATGATACTGGGTAGGAAGTTAATTACTAAATTAACCACGATAATAAACCAATAGATGATTAAACATTTTACATAACTATAATACTTGCAGCTCCTTTTTAAGGGAATGAGCTCATCCCTTCACTTAAAAATAATATACCTTTTCCGAACAAATTTTATATTCATAATCATTTAATTCTTTAAACCAACTTGATTGATAAATAACGTAATAATTAATATTTAAATCTTTTGAAAAAAAAAATTCAACAATTGGATTAACAAAAAGAGTTCTCTCAGTTGCTAAAGTTTTGACCAAGAAAATTCTCTTAAATAATAGATATATGTGAAAATTTATTTATATATGGTATGAAAAAAACAATCTTAAAAGCAATTGGCATTAGTGGGATTAGGGGTGATTTTTGGACGGATCAGAATTTCCAATTGCATTATGTTTTCATTTCAATTTTTGGATCAGAATTTTTGAGCTCGGATTCAAATTTGAAAACTTTACTAATGGAATTGAAAATACCATTCTAACTTCCACCCCTAAAGGGAATGTATGTGAAAGTGATAATTAAGGGATGGCCATGAGCCCATCGTTTCAGACCAACTTGCCTCCTAAGTAGGCAACCTAATCACAGGTTATTGTTAATGCTTATTGTTAATTGTTTTTAATAGAGACTTTGTACGTGATTATTGTTAATTGATTTTTAACAAATCTTTTCTCTAACTTTAGCAAGAAAGGTCAACTTTTTTATGGTATCAAAGCAGATTGTTTCATTTATGAAGCTCAACAGTCAATGTGCCACCTTACCCGATTTGTGTGTTCGCATGTTAAGCTTAAAAATCTGCCATACATTAGGGGGAGTATTGTGAGTATGAATCCAACATCATGTTAGGCTTGAAAATTTGCTACACGCGAAAGAACGTGTTGAAAGTGTCAATCCCAATGAGCGTGTTGAGAGCATGAATCTTATATCAATGAAAGAAAGAACGACGTGTGCTTATTAGTATGTGAACTTCTCCCCATATTTGATAGTGAATCCTCAAATGTCTTTCATTTTGAAGTGTCTGTGAGTCTCAAGAATAAAGTCTGTCATATATTTTGAGAGATAAATGAGAGTGTTAATGGCAATTTGGAAAGATATACTATATACCATCCGTTGTTGCTTTGCATGCTTTTAAAAAATAAGCTTTATGAAGCACCCTCTTGACCAGTGAAAGATTCGGATTTTAACATCCGGTGGTCTTAATATAAAGTCCTAAAATATTTGATCGAATACAATGCTAAAAGTTGAATGATAAACTATTAATTTTTTATTCATAATCATGGGACAAATAACATTACAAACTACAAAGATTAAATTTGTCCACGACGAGATTTCATATTCCAAAAAAAAGTATGACTTGGTAGGTCTAAAGTTTTGTTTTAGTTTACACAATTACATACGTTTTTTTTTTTTTGAACAAGAGATACTATTTACACTAAGGGGGAGGGGTGCGCTTTGCCTCACAATGTGTTAGCAATAATATGGTTTAAATTCATCTTTGACGATAATCGAACTTGAAGTGGATTATATAGTGGGGGTGAAGAAAAAGAGAGGAGAGAGAAAGAGAGAGAAAGAGAGAGGTAGGTTCTTCTGATTAAGGAGGTAAAGATCTCAAGGTGGGAGGGGAGACAAAGGACTGAGAAGATCTTTATTTCTTGCAGTAAAATTTTCTCCCATCCTATTCTCATACCATTCCCTCCCCTCCTCTTATAGAATTTTTTTTTCTTTTTTCTTTTTGTGTCTTTTTTTGTCTTTCTCTCCCTAATAAAATCAATACAAGATGTTGACGTGACTTAATCGTAATCATTGAAATAGGAGGAGAAGGAAAGAGAGATTAGGAGGGGAGAAAATCCTCTTCCCTATTTCTCTCATGCAACTCGAGGTTCTTTGAAAACACAACCTTTGAAGTATCTTCTGCTGCTCAATAAAACTATTCATTCCTACATGCAAATTAAATCACAGGGACATCAAATATAAAAAAAAAAAAAAACAAAAAAATTGAAGAGTTAGGTATGTGGAAGATTCATAAAACAAGTAGATACTTCACCAAATTATTCAATTTGAAATTTATTTCTTAAATAAGTATAAAAAAAATTTACAATTTGAATTGGGTTTGGAAAGATAGTTTAGGTAGTAAATTTGAGTTTAAATAGATAGTAATTCTTTATTTAAAAATAATATGCGCGTAGAGAGTAATTTTTTCCTTCAATTGAATCCAATCATACAGTTGTTTCATGTGAGTCTTTTCATATAGAGATTCAGTGAGTCATTTTGAAAGAGTTCAACTCAATCATGATTGCTACTTATGATTTGAAGTCCTTTCATAATTAAAGACGTGAATTTTGTATCCTGTGAAACAAGCGTTGATCAACAATGAACACCATGATGGAATTATCTTAGAGAGAAAGAACCAAGTTGTTAACTTGATTGTATTTTCAAAGTTGTGCATTTTAAAATTGAGTTTGCATACCAGTCTTTATTGAATTAATTATTGAAGTTATTTTTTTATATTCGGCCGGCATGAGTAAATATAGGGAGTTTTAACGAAAAGTTCGCAGTACTGTTCACTTTAACGAAAAATCATATTTTAACACTAAAAAGTCAATTCTTATACTATTCACTTTACCTTTTATTTTGTCCTTATCGTTAAAACTCAAAGTTTTCAAGCCATTTTCATTAGTTTTCCTTTAAATATACCATTGACACCAAATACTCTATTATCAATCTAGGAAATTATCAATATACCTTACCGATGGCTTTCAATACCTAACTAACTTGATTAAATATACCATTGATACCAAATACTCCGTTATCGATTTGGGAAATTGTCAATATACCTTACGGATTGCTTTCAATGCCTAGCTAAAGTTCAAATTTGTTGACAATATGAATATATGTTCACACTGAAAACTTTCCAATCTTTAAAGATAAGAGACAAAGACTTCAACACAAAGTGTAAGAAAATTCAAAGTCCTCTCAGACAAATAGCATCTCATATATTAATTAAGAAAGAATATTTAAAATTCACTAGGTTTCTCCCATTTTCTTTAAGTTTAATAGCAAAAACTTAAATAGGTCAAAAATCCAGTGCTAGTTGTTTAGACTCCGCACAAGTAGCATCTAAACAAGGGACGGTCTACCCACAAAATCAGAGCAAGTTTAGGTGGGATAACAAAAACAAATAGAGGATATGCAAATTAATAATGCATCTCACTATAAATAAAGTCCTGAGTTGCTTAAAAAAAGTACACACAAAAACCATGGTGAGATTTTCAACTTATTGTGAAAAAGTATGCTTTCTAGCTTGCCTTATCTTGTATCTTCAGCTAGCTTCATCACCAAAAAATGCTTTTGCTTCTGCCAATTCCACTGAAGCAGAAGCACTCCTCAAATGGAAAGCTAGCTTTCAAAACCAAACCCAAAACAACCTGACCTCATGGATTAATACAAATGAAGCCCCATGCAATACTTGGGTTGGTGTTTCATGCAACTCTGATGGAAGTGTCAACAGATTAAACCTCACCAATTCTGGTATACATGGTACTCTACTCGAATTTCCATTCATGTCCTTGCCTAATCTTGCATATGTTGACCTCAGCTTGAATGAATTTTTTGATCAAATCCCACCTGAGATCAGTTCCCTCACCAAACTCATCTATTTCGATATATCCTACAATCAAATGTCTGGAAAAATCCCACCCGAAATCGGTCTCTTAACAAATCTTCAGGTTCTTCACCTAAATGCAAATAAGTTTAACGGCTCAATTCCTCAAGAAATAGGCCAACTTAAATTTGTCTATGAGCTAGCTCTAAACTTAAACAATTTAGAGGGTTCAATTCCAGCTTCTGTCGGTAATTTGAGCCAGTTGACTTCTTTGATTCTCTTCGGAAACCAACTTTCGGGTCCTATCCCTCCTGAAATAGGAAACCTTTCGAAGTTGGTTGAACTTTACTTGTTTGACAACTATTTATCAGGCTCAATCCCTCTGAGTTTCGGAAACTTGAAAAATCTAACCACGATGATGTTGTACAACAATACCCTTTCTAGTTCTATCCCAACTTCTTTGTGCAATTTGACAAACCTTGTTTATCTCTCTCTCTACGATAATAAACTTTCCGGCACTATTCCTGAAGAGATTGGAAGGTTGAAATTTTTTGTGTCTCTAGAGCTCACCAACAATCAGCTCAACGGAACCGTTCCCTCGTCGTTTGGCAACTTGAGCAGCCTACAAAAACTTTACCTCCGTGGTAACCAATTATCTGGATCAATCCCCCAAGAGATAGAGAATCTACTAAAGTTGACAATACTTGACTTGGCTACTAACCGATTTTCTGGTTATTTGCCTCGAGATATATGTAGAGGTGGATTGCTACAAAGGTTTAGTGCAGAAAACAACGAATTTTCAGGTCCAATCCCGAAAAGCTTGAAAGGTTGCAAGAGCTTGGTCAGAGTCCGTCTTCAAGGAACCAATTTACAAGCAATACATCTGAAGACTTTGGTGTCAATCTGAATCTTCAGTATGTAGACCTAAGCCACAACAACTTAAATGGCGAAATCTCAAACATCTGGGGACAGTGTCCAAACTTAACAACCCTACGGATTGCGGGGAACAACCTTACAGGTAGCATACCATCTGAGATTGTCAATGCAACTAAAATTCAAGAGCTCGATTTGTCTTCGAATCATCTGGTTGGGGTGGTTCCCAAGGATTTGGGGAGATTGACTTCTATGGTGACTCTAAAGTTGAATGGCAATCAACTTTTGGGTTCTATACCTTCAGAATTTGGAGCATTCACTGAACTTGAATATCTTGACGTGTCAATCAACAAGCTGAACGGCTCGATTCCAAGCACTTTTGGCGAATTGGTCAGGTTAAACTACTTGAATTTGAGCAACAACAATTTTAGTCAAGAAATTCCATTTCAGTTGGGGAAGTTATTTCACCTGTCACAGTTAGATTTAAGTCGTAACTCACTTGACGGCAAGATACCATCAGAAATCGGCAATATGCAGAGCTTGGAGGGGCTGAATCTTTCCCACAATAATCTTTCCGGTCTCATTCCAGCAACTTTTGATGGAATGCGTGGCTTGTCGTACATAGACGTATCCTACAATCACTTGCAAGGTCCCATCCCCAACAACAAAGCATTTCAAGATGCTCACAGCTTTGAAGGGAATGAAAGATTGTGTGGAAATGTTGTAGGTCTAGAATCCTGCAATAAGCACGTCTCAAAAATAAAACTCGTGTTTGCAATCGTTTTCCCTATCTTGGGAGCAGTTTTACTTGCTCTCTTTGCAATTGTCTTCATCAAAACAAGAAGAAAGAAAGAGCTGGGAACAGGAAAGAGTGATATCCATGATGAAAATTTTTCAATCTTTCTTTTTGATGGAAAAAAATTGTATCGGGAGATCATAAGAGCAACCAATGGTTTTGACTCCATATTTTGCATTGGGAAGGGAGGATCTGGAAGTGTCTACAAGGCAAAGCTACCATCAGGCAGCATAGTTGCAGTGAAGAAACTCCATCAAAAACTTGACGGCGAGGAGACATCGCAGAAGGAGTTCCATAATGAAATAAGTGCACTAATCAATATACGACATCGAAACATTGTGAAACTTTGTGGTTTTTGTTCAAATTCGCAGCACTCCTTTCTGGTTTATGAATACCTAGAAAAGGGTAGTCTGGCTTCAATCTTGAGCAAAGAAGACGAAGCAAAAGAATTGGATTGGAGTATGAGGGTGAGAATTGTAAAAGGCGTAGCTCATGCACTGTCTTACCTGCATCATGATTGCGTGCCGCCAATTGTACACCGAGACTTATCAAGCAACAACATTTTGTTGGATTATGATTACGAGCCTTGTGTTTCAGACTTCGGCACTGCTAAGCTTTTGAATCCAGACTCATCGAATTGGAGCTCCCTTGCAAGCACATACGGATATGTAGCACCAGGTAAAGTAAAACGGTTAAAATATATAACGTTGAATTTGATAATATAAATTTAGACATATACTAATGGCTTGCTCTCCCTTAATTTTTATACAGAGTTGGCCTACACAAGGAAGGTAACTGAGAAATGTGACGTTTATAGCTTCGGAGTGCTAGCACTGGAAGTGATCATGGGAAAAAGACTAGGTGATTTAATCTCGTCCTTTTTGTCTCCATCAGCGTGTGAAAACAAATTGCTGAAGGATGTATTGGACCAACGGCTTCCGCCTCCTACACCTGAAGTTGAAGATGAACTGACAGCCATTGCAAGGGTAGCAATCGCATGCAAGGATTCGCGACCGCAATTGAGGCCAACAATGCACATGGTTTGTCAGTCATTATCATTACAAACTGCAGCTTCCACTGGAGGACCAGACATCACACTTGAACAACTCATTAGGATTTAAATTGCATTTGATATTGTTTGAGTTGGCACAAAATTCAAATCATCTTGTTTAAATATATCATATATGTACTCTGTTATATTTGTAGTTAAATTGAGAATAAGAGAGAAGTGCTAGCTAGACTCGCTCAACAGCAAGTCCCACATGTATTATCTATCACTTAAATGGTTAGACCAAAATATCCTATTTAGTATTTACTAGAAATTGGTGCACACACATTGCTATAGGAGTAAAAATTGTATGAAAGATTATGTTGAAAGATATAATAATAACTATGTCATTTAATACTATTTATATTGAAAACGTTATGAAGATTTTTACATACAAAAGATTATACAGTCTACATACAGAAGATCATAGATTTTTTTCTATCTACATGCAAAAAAAGATTAGATGGAGATATACAAAAGATTATGAAACGTTGGGGCTATTTACATAACAAAAATATTAATGAATATTGATTCACTTACATTCATAAAATATGACAAAAGTTGTTCATTGGAACACGAAGAATTTCCCAGCAGTGCTATCATTACCAAGAAAACAGCCTAGGCAAGGAAAAAAAATTAATTACTGAAACACTTACAACGAATTTTGACATCAACAGATTTATATTGTACAAAAAATAATATAACGTATGGTTACTTCGTGTTTTACTGTTGGAAAGGAATCTGTTTCTCTATCAGTTGGAGAGGACCTTTTTTCCGCAATTTGATCACTTTGTACCTATCTTCCTCCCTATCACAACAAATAGTTCATGCTTTCAAAAGAAAAAAGTTTGTGCAGCGTAAAAAGTACAACCGCAATTCTGATCAAGTAAGTTTGTGAGAAAGACATAATTTAAGTTAGAATGCATGTAAGTTTTAATGATTTTGCAGAAGAGGTGTGATCAATAATCTTACTGAATAATGGAATAACAACTAAACGGAAAGCCCTTTTACTTGTTTCTTTGGTTCTCCAACTGACCAGGTAATTTTCTCTTCCAACTAAATTAAGATTCAACTCCTCTCTGTCTTCCCTCTCCTATTCCAACACATGCATCAACAACCACCAACTCTGAAAAATGGCAATGGAAACCTGATGCATGTGATGAACAGATGCAGATCGCGCTTCGGGAAGAAGCGGAGATGTTGTACGACCTAGACGGCACACCCTTACCGAAGAAACCTTGCGGAGTTGGATCATGGCCGCTGTTCCTACGGTGCAAGAATTGCAAAGGGCGGCTTCTGGGCATTCAGACGCTTACCTGCATCTTCTGACTGCAAGGACATCCCTCCCGAACCCATCAATTTCCAGGATACTTTTGGGTAGATAGTATGCGACTTGATTTTTTATCTTTTGTTTGATTGATGAGAAAATTGAGATTAATTAAGATGGGAAATAAAAGCTTTCTCTGTGTAGCATTTAACTCCCAAGCCTTTTGACACTGCCTTTCACAAACCTTTTAAAATCCCTCGCAACCCTTTGAAATTATCTTTCAAAGCGTCACTGTTGAAAATAAAAACCACAAATTAATGCAAAACGTAAAAAATAAAAAAATAAAAAAATTCATTGTTCTTTTGTTAGATGAGAGAGGGAGTGAGTGAGAGTGGCAAGGTGCCAAATCCTATTTTCATCAAGTGCATGCATAAATCTGTGTTTTGTTTCCTTAATTTTAATTTAGAACAGCGGATTGGATCGAACATGTGAGGTATAATACTATTATTTTATGGCTCTGCAGTTTACTAACAAGTTTATTTTTTCTTTTAGCCGAATTAATAAATATTACGTAATGGATTGATCTAGCTCAAAGTTTTGTCTGGCTTGGAAATTACAAATTTTAATTGTTCATGCAGGTACTACTTGTGCTTGAATCTTGACCAAGGTTATTTATACCGATTGTCTTATTTTTTTTTCATCTATATTTTAATTTCATTCACTATAAAAAGTTAAAAAATTGAAATGTTATTTCTCCACTCACTATTTTTTTTTAATTGGTTATGTCTGAAACTGGACGCAGATACTATTTCTGAAACGAAACATGGATTAAACATGGATACTAAACTATTTCTTAAACATACTATTTTTGAAATTGAACATGGTTACTACACTATTTCTTAAACTGAATACTGATTATTTTTTAAGACTAAACAGTGGTACTATCACTATTTTTTAAACTGAATACTAGCACTATCACTATTTGTTAAACTGAACACTGACTATTTATTAAACTCACTATTTATGAAACTAACATGGGTACTATACTATTTATTAAACTCACTATTTATGAAACTGACACGGGTATTACACTATTTATTAAACTGAGTGACTATTTATGAAACTAACACAGACACTATACTATTTATTAAACTGATTGATTATTTATGAAACTAACACATGTACTACACTATTTATGAAACTGACATGGGATGCTACATTATTAATTAAACTGACTGACTATTTATGAAACTGACATGGGTACTACACTATTTATTAAACTGACTAACTATTTATGAAAGTGACCCATGTACTACACTATTTATTAAACTCACTATCTATGAAACTGACATGGGTACTACACTATCTATTAAACTGACCGAATATTTATCAATGCTTGGACCTTTCAACTCAGAGCACGATAGACAATCACATTTTAAGAATAATGATAGGATTAAAAGCACACCACAAAATAGCACACAAATGTCCTATTGATTTTCCTTATTAACACTAAGATTTATTAATTGTAGCATATGAAAATAAAGGTCTTTCCCGCAGAAGATTGTTTTATCTAATTACTTAAAATGTGACAAAAACTGGGATGCTGCCCTTTCTGGCCAACCACCGAAAAATAATTATTAGACTGACTTACACTTATCTAAAGTCTACAAAATTTTATATGTAGATACTAGACACGCAAAGCTACACTCACACAATGTTTTGGGATTTTTGGAGTTGACTTTCTATTTAAATTAAATCGAACAAAAACATGACAAAAACAGATTTTAAGTAGTTCACAAATTAAGAAAAACGAGTTAGGGGAATTGCTATCCACCACCAAATAATCATGCAAACATGTTATGTTTCATTCAAATTCCTTCTATTTCTGGATGAAGATGCTCAAGTTGGCTCAATGTTAGAACTCAACCTATTACGCTTTCTTATGTAGTATGTTAAGAGAATGGTGTTTTCAACTTAACTTAGTCCTTAGCATGCAATCTAGAATGTCATTTTCATAGATTTAACAAGTAGAAATCATTAAGAACGAAAAGAGTTTGAGTCATCACAAGGCGTCGTAAGTACTAGCGTTGTCTTACTTATCCAAGAAATTGATTCACATGTTAATCGCAATTAACAAGTACTACTATAGAACATATGTAAGTCCTCATTCGATAAGGGCAGACACACACATATTCATAGCATTAGAATCTTAGATATGCTTACTAAGTATGCATCCATAGAAAACACATAAAAAATTTATCAATGAGACAAACAGTGAACCAATGTCATCTATTCATAAAAGTAATTCAGACGAAATGTCATAACAAACTTGCAATCATATTCGGGCTTCAAAATAGCCCCTAACTACTAAAAGTTTAGTTACACAATCCTTAAGCTACAACAAAAGATAGACATGAGTTTGAGAAAATATAACCGAAAGAAATCGACTCAGGTTTCCTTTTTCCTTCCTTCCCAAACACTACTTTTAAACCAATTCTTGCTGCATCATTTTCTTCTCCTTAACTCACCCACTAATAGCCATTTAGTGATGACAATAAGTGAGAGGAAATGGTAAAACTATTGTAACCCTTTGGGCAGCCTTTATGCCAATTACTCTCGCTTAATCCTCATCTTTAATTTCATTTCATTTGATATTTGAATAGGTGTCGGCTGGCTTATTCTTGGTTGCATCAGTTTTGGTTGCTAGATTTATTGGGTTTATTGCTTTCTGCAGTTACAAACTGCTCAGCCTATTGTGAACCTTTCAGTGTTAAAATGGCCATAACTTCTTCTAGAAAAATGATATTCATAATCTGCGAAATGCTCCAGAAAATAGACATCCGTATATATAAGGCTCATTCTCTAATTCATTCTGAGCTATCCGCAACTTGCTTCCAAAGTCGGTTGATCTGCACTGGCAGTTTTGACGAATTTGTTACTTAAAATCTCACTTGTGCTATTTTTCTTTTCTTTGCTTGACAAATCCTACAAAACACAAAAATAAGGTAAATAGCTCAAAAATATAAAGAATTAACTAAGTAAAGACAAGTGAATATGATGTAAAATATATATAAATATGAGCTTATCAAATAACATTGCCAAGGTTACTAATCCTTTTCTTTAGGGAAGGAAGTCTACGAGGATCACATAAAGCTTGGGGAGATTGGACCCTTTGAAAGCCCAAGGAGAACTTCTATTGCATGATCCACAATCCGGAAGGTTTCAGATTCCCGGGGGGTCATTTAGGTAATCCTCAAAGCCAAAATCATCCAATCTTTTAGTCATAACTTCCAAACCCAGCAGAAGAAATTGGTTTGGCAGGCCTCTGGAATCAAGAAGGGAATCCATCTTTAGTGGAAACGTCCTTCCACAAGTGCACCCCAAGATTTTCCTATTTATCTGCTCCTGAGTTAACCTCGCCGATTCCAAAGCAGATTCAAGAGGGTGAGCGCCGACGAGGTCGACCTTGACGCCTTGAAGTCCAAATCGAAGAGCGTCCTTTTGGATTCCTCCGATTTTGTGCTCCATCGTCTTCAGTGCCTCCATTTTGCTTTCTCTGTTTCTTCCTTTCCTTCTTCTTCCTGTGCCTTTAATCTCAAAATTTAAATAACAAACAAATTAATTTTTGTCTGGTGGATTAATCAGGTAATGGCATAGTTGTAAATAAAATAAAGTTGATTTGTAACAAAATTAGATGACAGAATGGGTTCCGTTAGGGACAAGGCATGGAAAAAAAAAATTTATTTCGTTTTGGGCTTTTGATTCAACCCATGTGTATTCAATGTTTGTGAGGCTGGATATAGATTAGTCTTGTCCTTATGATTAAATTTGAAGCCTTTGTGGTTAAAGAAAAGTGTAGGATGGTTTTTGGTTAAATTAAACTTAGTCCAAACATTTTTCATTAAAACTCCCAATTTTTATTTGATTGTTAATTTCTTTTATCTGATTATGATAACTAGAATTTGGTTGGTTCATCAAGAAGGTTAACTGGAGGCTTTGGTTTCTTT